GTGTGTGTGTGTGTGTGTGTGTGTGTGTGTGTGTGTGTGTGTGTGTGTGTGTGTGTTACAGTCATACTTTGGTAAAGTATTTTGAAATAAATTACCAAAATAACTGGAATGATTATATACTGTTATTTTGACAAATAAAATTTGCAGAATTTTAAAATCGCATGTGCATTATTTTTTATTTTTTGGCACAGAATTTCCCCAGGAGTAAGATTTACACTCTGTCTATATTAGAGTAGTTACACCAATGCAAATCCCTAATGTAGCTACACTACACGGATGTAAGAGCATGGGTTATGGTGGTGCAATTACCTTGATCCAGTGTAGGATCAGATTATTAACATAAGCATAAGCCCCATTTTAAAGCTATGCAGTGCATTATAGCTATGCAGGGGTTTGCATTGATTTAACTACACTAGTGGAAATCTCTCATATATAGGCAGGACCTAATTTGACAAAGGGATTCATAGCAAGCAGTGCAGAACAAACTATCTCCTTGAGACTGACTACATTGCCTCTGCAGACTCCCAGCCCCAAACTAATGGAGTGAGCAGGAAGGGAACACAGGGCTTCTTCACAGCAATGCACAGGCCTATTAGGCCACCCACCAGCTCACAAGTGGAAGTTAAAAAAAATATATTTGTAAAACATTTGATGCATTTACTATAAGCAATCAGAGGTTTTCTCGGTCATCTTTAGCTGGGTAAGTACAATAATTTGCTTCAAACCTTAATTTTTGTATATTCATACAACAGGATTACTAAAAAGGTACATCTAGTCTGATATTTTCTTCTGCCTTAGCTCCAACCTACATTACAGCCTGGTCTACACCTAAAACTTGGGTCAACCTAAATACATGGCTCAGAGCTGTGAAAAACTTCACACCCTGTGCGTTGTCATTAGGCCAACCTAACCCCCACTGTAGACACAGCCGGTTCGATGGAACGATCGCAGCAGTGTCTAAGCTATAATGGCCTTGGCTACACTCGCGGATACACCACGCTGCGCTGTGAAGCGCGAGTGTAGTCGCGCCGCCAGCACTGTGAGAGCTCTCTCGCAGCGCGGCAAGAGCTCCACCTCTCCGAGGGGAATAGCTTGCAGCGCTGCGAGCGAGCGTGCAGCGCTGCAGGCGCTGATTACACTGGCGCTTTACAGCGCTGCACTCGCTGTGCTCGGGGGGGGGGAGGGGTGTTTTTTCACACCCCTGAGCGCAGCAAGTGCAGCGCTGTGAATTGCCAGTGTAGCCAAGGCCAATGGCATACCTGCGAGCTCGTCGGGGGTGGTTTAGTTATGCCAGCAGGAGAGCTCTTCCCCGCCAGCAAAGAGTGACTAGGCGGGAGCTGTGCCTCTGTAAGATTCATAATGTAGACCCAGCCTTACAAACAGAAAAAAAGTTGCCTCTGTAACCTACTAGTTTGCAAAGTACTGCATTACAAAGTAATGGTCAGAATGAATGAAGTGGTTTTTTTCAGGATCTTAAACATGAAAATAAATTACCAGGCCTCTAGCAATTAAATTGCTTGCCACAAGATAAAAATAAATATGATGTATGCAAAGCTTCTACTGACCCAATCATCGGCTACATTTCATATTCCCACTTAAACATAAGCTACAATTAAAGCTAGTTACATTTAAAATTTCATTTCTATTTTGCTTTTAACACCATATGTACATAATTGAAGTCTGTTTAAATGTACTTTTGTTCCTACAAAAGTCAGTGTAAAATCTATTTAGTCTCTGATAACTGACAGGGTGATGCAACTTTAAACTTCTCAAAATAAGAACTGCTTAGACTAGCAGTTCCTGATAAATCACAAATAGCTTGGAGTAAGCTCTTTTTTTCAGAGAAAGACTCTGAAAAAATACTAGTGACCAAAAATTAGAAGAAAGTAATGGGATTTATGCAATGTCAGGTTTTCCACATCTGTATATTTTTTGATTAAATTGCATGCTCTTTATTCATATTATGCAACACTAACTGTAATAGGAGAAATGAAAAACTTCTTTCCAGAAGTTCATAAAGCAAGCAAAAGGTTAGTGAAAGAATGCTACTGCCACGTATCACTCCTCCCCCACTCACGTAATGGACATTTCATCTCTCCAAAGTTCTTTCCAATAGGAAACTCAAAAAAAGAACTACACCTCTTTAAAATAAACTAGAGAGTAAAAATTGTGTATAGTATGTAATCCTTGCTTGCAACAACTAATTCTTGATTCTCATGTCTTTTCCACTGACTCGCAAAGAGATCACTCTACAGAGTTCAGCATAAACACATATTTCTAGCATCTGATGCACAAATAAAATAGCCCAAAAGCTTATTACTACAAGTTTTTTCCCCTTCTAATTTAAAGAAACTGCTTTAAACTGCCCCAATGCAATTCAGTCTGCTAAAGACTGGAACTCAGGAGTTACAAGGAAAACCCATCTGTGTAACCTCAGGCTACAGTATTCTTGTTTAAACAAATATCTAATATGCACTCTGGTGCCATGACAATGGGCACAGGCTAAGAATATAGATGGATAATCCATTGCATAACTGCACTTGACTAGAGAAGAAATCTGATCCCATTTCAGAAGTAGCAAACACGTGCTTAACCCGATCAATACGCAGAATAATCTGCTGCAAATATGCTTCCTTCACGGAAAGAAGATTCGGGATCAGCTTGGGAGGTCCTAAAGTGGGTGGATGACTTCATCTGCCTGGACACCCCCTTCCAGCTGGGCCCGAGGAGGCTGCTGGCGCGGCTCACGGCCCAGAAAAGACCCTCGGACCCAGCTCCGGACCGCACAGGTTCTCTCGGGCCGCGAGCTCTCGCCGCTTTTAACACCCCACCCCCGCTACTCCCGGTACCCGGTGGGTCCGGCCCGCCGCAAACCCCCGCGGGTGGAGCAGGCGCCTGACGACAGCAGGCGAGAGGGATAAGCAGCCCCGGCCCCAAGGGAAGAGACTCCCCAGAAAGGCCACCTCGGCGGGGTCAGCCGCCCGCGGCTCCGCTCACGCCCCGGGGGCGGGGCGGGACAGCAGGTAGGATGGCGCCTCACCTGAGGGAAGGAGGCTGCTGGCTGGTTCTGCTGGGCCCCGCTCTCCCTGCGCCGAGCCGAAGGTAGACACGGTAGGACCTGCTGTGTGGCGCAGCCCCAGAGTCGCTGGGCCTCTTCGGAATCTTTATATCGGCCGGGGCCCGTGTCGCTCCGCCCGCGGATGGGGAGGCGGCCACAGCTGCTGGCCACGCTGCGCCTACGTGAGCTCGAGCACAGCAGTAGCGCCCTGCGCAAGCGCAGCAGCCTGTGAGACAGTCACCCTGGAAACTGTGGGCGTGGCTTCTTCGGGGGCGTGGCTACGTGCGCACCTAAAGGCGGAACAGTGGGCAAACAGCATGGTCCCCCGGGGTAGCCTCTGCCCCTTACCCCAACAGTATCCTCTCGGCTAGCGGCCCTCCTGGTGGCCTCTGACCTGTCACTTGTACACGTGCCAAAGCCAAATCCCCTTCGCCTTTCTGCTCAGCCCAGGCTTCTCTAAATTAGAGGCTCTAATCCACCCCCAGCCACAAACAGCAGGCCCACAAGAGAAAAGTTAGGATTTACGCTGGGGGCAGGATGAAGAGAAACTGAGGCAGGGTCCCCCCTACTAAGTAGACAAAGGAACCCAGTGCTTTCACTTACTGGGGCTCAAACAGTTTTTTAATTTTCATAATTGACACAAACAAGGAGGAGTCTGGGGGCACCTTAAAGACTAACAGATTTATTTGGGCACAAGCTTTCGTGGGTAAAAACCTCACTTCTTCAGATGCACCTGAAGCGCAGCAGCCTGTGAGACAGTCACCCTGGAAACTGTGGGCGTGGCACCTTAGTCTTTAAGGTGCCACCAGACTCCTTGTTGTTTTTGTAGATACAGACTAACACGGCTAGCCCCTGATAATGGACACAGCAAGCGCTGATGTGCTGGGCACAGGTACTGCACAAATCTTCTATTGGGAAAGGCTTCACTACAAGAAGTTCCCTAGAAGTGAGGGGGCCACTGCTGTGTGTAGCGGGGCCCCTCCCCCCTCTGCCTTTTCCTCTGAAGCCCCTCACCACTCACTCCCCCTGCCACTCTTGGCCTCCTCATTCTAGGGAGCATTGTTTCTGGCACTCCAAAGGCAGTAAACTAGCATGCCTCCACAAGGAGGTGATCTGCACAGCATCCGTGGCATTTGTCCTCCTGCATGGCTAGTCCTTTTGGGGGAGGCCTCCCACAGCCTCTTATACACACCACCTATGGTAACTGCCAAGCCTGGAGGCACCAGGGCTCAGCCCTGGCACAAATTAAGCACTGGAAGTACCTACCTACCATGGAAAGATGTGCTCTGGCTCACATCACCAAAAGCTCCTTATATCCAACGTGTTGAGTTTAGGGTAAAATTAACAATGGGCTTTACAGAGAACCATGTTACATGAGTATTTGTACAACCCTCGCTCAGTTCTCACAGTCCTGTCCCCCATGCATGCCTCTTTCCCAGCACCAATGAGATCACTGCAAATAGAATGGGATAGAGCTCACATGGTAATTTAATATTTTGGCAGGATAAAAATTTCAAATACAAAATTTTACAATCAGAAAACCCCCAAAAATGCTTTGACAAAAACAGACATTTTAGATAAAGAAGAACAAGAGTACTTGTGGCACCTTCGAGACTAAAATTTATTTGAGCATAAGCTTTTGTGGGTTACAGCCCACTTCATCAGCTGCATAGAATGGAACATATAGTGAGGAGATATATATACATACAGAGAACATGAAAAGGTGGCAGTTGCCCACTCTAAGAAGGTGTGAGGATATTTAACATGGGGAAATAGATTCAATGTCAAACCGTCTCAAATGGGCCATCTTGATTATCACTACAAACTTTTTTTTCCTCCTGCTGATAATAGCTCATCTTAATTAATTAGCCTCTTAGAGTGGGCAACTCCCAACTTTTCATGTTCTCTGTATGTATATATATATCTCCTCACTTATATGTTCCATTCTATGCATCCGATGAAATGGGCTGTAGCCCACGAAAGCTTATGCTCAAATAAATTTGTTAGTCTCTAAGGTGCCACAAGTACTCCTTTTTTTGCAAATACAGACTAACACGGCTGCTACTCTGAAACCTGTCATTAGATAAAGATAGAAACTTTCACACAAAAAATGTAGTCAAAAACCATTTTTCATTTTAAAAACAAGTTCTGAGACGCTTTTGGTCACCACTTGTTGGAAGCATTACTGGGAGTAATTAAATCTTTGGTATAGGCAGAGTCCTGACAAATGCATTGGAGGTGATAGTCCCAGAGCCTTATAAATATATAGGGCTAGGAGGCAGGCAATATACCACAAAGGCAGTGAATAAATGGTTATCAACTTAGCATAATTAACTGCAACTGTGCAAGCCTAAGGAAAAAAATTGGAGTACCATTGCTAGATACTAGTATGAGCTATTTGTTTCAGGTTTCTTCAGATAGCCACACAAGAACAAACTAGGAGACATAATAGCTTTGAGTCCAGAGTTCTCCCTTCAGAGGTCCACATACCGTAGTCCCGTGTCTTTCATAATGGCGGTAGTTAGCCACAAGGAGCTATTGATAATACCACAATGTTTCCCTCATATCAGGTATCCTTTACCAGAATGTATAGGTCATCACTCCTACCTTGCTGATGGCTAATGCCCCAAAGGAGTAGTGCAATTCTTGGAGATGTTAACAGTTGAATATTGAATACAAGTAGCGAGGTTATTTTAATCTGTGTATTTGGCAGTGGTGCAACTGCTACTGGAATACTTTGTCCAGCTCTGAACAATTCAAGAAGGGTGTTGGTAAATTGGAGAGGGTTCAGAGAAGAGATACAAGAATGATTAAAGGATTAGAAGACATACCTTGTTCCCAAGAGGACACACACTTTGAAGAAGTGAGGTTTTTACCCACGAAAGCTTATGCCCAAATAAATTTTAGTCTTTAAGGTGCCACAGACTCCTTGTTGTTTTTGTAGACATTGAACAAGCAAGTCAAAATAAAGATTGGCAATAAAATATAGGAGAGAGATCACCCAAAAACAGAACAGGAAAGTCAAGAAAAAGTTTCATAAGGAGATGGACATCCAGAAGGCTGTCTCATTGCTTTCCCCCATCTTTCTCAGATTTAAGAAACAAAGCAGAGTGTCACCTTTGCTTATGATACCCTTATGAGTGGTTCAGAGTATATTATTTAAATTCCAGAATATGAGGAATTAAATAAAGGATTACAAATGATTTGGGGGAGAAAGAGTGGTGTAACCATGTGCTAAAATAAAGATGTAAATGGAGGAAAGAGGAGTAGAAATATAGCTTAGTTAGTACAACTCCCCACAGGATGTTGGGCCTATGAAAACACACACACACACACCCCTACCCCAGTACTCTAGTTTTGCATGGAGTGGATGTTGAGGTTCCCCCTAGAGGAACTTCTTCATACCAGAAGAGTGGACAGGTTAGTCAGATCCATCTGGGACTTTGGGAAATCTCCACATTGTGAAGGGGGAAGGAATTTAGGGAGTTTTTGGTTTCAGTATATTTGAAGGATTCAGGGGGAAAATAAGGGGGAAGGGACTGGGGAAACTAAAAATAATGGAGTTCTAGACCCAAGGTTAAAGGAGTCAGAAAGCAGTATAATGAAGTATAGGAAATCAGACACTGACAATCTCTAACAACTTCATGTAGGACTCCAGGAGATGTCAGTCCAGAAGAAAGATTACTCCTTTTCAATACCCCACATAATATAAACTTATATCAATTATCATACAATCTCTAGAACTTGGCTTAAAACAGCCTTGCTGTGCTAATTTTGTATCTCCTTGTCAGATCCTGCACCAGTTTTACTTCTTATTAGAAACTGGCGAGAGACACCTAGAACAAGAAAATTAATCACCACACTTCTGTATGACCAGAAGAGAGTTTAAGATAGAGAAAATTATGCAATTGTTTAAGGAAAACAATGCTGACCAGATTTTAAAAGGACTTTATGGGACGCCTTCAAAGCAGTGATTAGGGACAGTTTAATTAACAAAGTCTAAATTAGAAAAAGAAAAAGCAAACATTGCTCAGTGAAGTTGAAAAAAAATTTTTAAATTACTTCAGAAAAGTTGATCTCAGAAAATATATAAAAAATTAAGAGGACAGAAGCAAGTTAGACTTACTATAAACAGAAAAATCTCAACAGGCAATTATATTCTAAACCAGGGGTTCTCAAACTTCATTGCACCGCAAATCCCTTCTGACAACAAAAATTACTACAGGACCCCAGGAGGGGGGACCGAAACCTAAGCCTGACCAAGCCCCACCATCCCAGGGGGTGAGAGCCAAAGCTGAAGCCCACGGGAGTCAGCCCCAGACAGGGGGCCTGTAATCTTAGCCCTGGCACTCAGGGCTGAAGCCAGGGCCGGCTCTAAGCACCAGCAAAACAAGCTGGTGCTTGGGGCGGCACATTTTTAGGGGCGGCATGGCCGGCGCCAGAATGCCGCCCCTAAAAATGTGCCCCGACCGCCCTAGCTCACCTCCGCTGCTGCTGCCATGGTGCGCGAAACAGCTGATTTGCGCGCCGCTACTCGCCCTCCCTCCCAGGCTCTCAAGTCTGGGAGGGAGGGGGAGCAGCAGCACGCGAATCAGCTGTTTTGTGCGCTGTGGCAGCTCGGGGTCTTCCCCTCCCTCCCAGGTTCTCAAACCAGGTTTGAGAGCCTGGGGGGGGTGGGGGGGGACTCCGAGTGGCCGTGGCGCAGGCGCCGCTTCTCCCCCTCCCTCCCAGGCTCTCAAACCTGGGAGGGAGGGGGAGATCCCGAGCGGCCGTTTCACGCCTGCACCACGGCCACTCGGAGTCTCCCCCCCCCCCCAGGCTCTCAAACCTAGGAGGGAGGGAGGGGGAGATCCCGAGCGGCCGTTTCACGCCTGCACCACGGCCACTCGGAGTCTCCCCCCCCCCCCAGGCTCTCAAACCTAGGAGGGAGGGAGGGGGAGATCCCGAGCGGCCGTTTCACGCCTGCAC